CCGAATTACCTATATACGTGCGATAGATAAGAGAACAAACTAAGCTGGTACCTAGTTTCAAGGCGTTTTCCAAAAATAATATCATGTAACATTATACAATCTAGAGATAACGCAACGAAAATTTCCTATACGAGTATTAATAAAAATTGGTACATACATACATACATATGGAGGGTGTCCCATAATAATTGTTAAACTCTTAAAGGGGTTGTTGTATGGGTACATTTAAAGAAGGTCTTTGATATACATAAACTCATTCGATTAGAGCCCTCCCTGTAAAGTTATTGACACATACAAGGCGAGCCAAAAATACATTGATAATATTTTATCTTTTATATTCCCTGTGCACAAACATAGGGTTGAAATACTGAACTCCTATTAATTTTTGTGTCATAACTTTTTTGTGAGTTAATGTTTAACGCTGCTAAAATATACACGACATAGCACAGTTCTTTTAAAACCTTTTTCACCTCTTCCTATTTTTTTCGAATATGCAACGGTTATCATGAAAAAAAATTAAAGTCATTTCGTTGCTGTGTTGTCTTATTTGACATTTGTTGGCAGTTAGAAATCTGAACCTTGGTTTTAATAGTGTGTGTCTTACTTGAGCTTCAAACTTTTATCTACTCGTAGCAATGAAAAACTATTTTTAGAACAATCAAAGTGTTATAGTTGTCAGAATTCCATTTGCAAAATGCCAAAAACAGTGAAACAGCAGTTGCCAAGAGTTAGTAGCATCTTTGATACGATATTTCCAAAAAAGAACGAAACAATAATGGTCCATTGCTACAGTTAAAAGCTTAAAATATGAATTAAAACTACAGTCCAATATATTTGACAAAAAAGCAAAAAACAATGGACTTTGAAAATCACATAGAAAAAATAAATTGAACTACACACAGCTACCATATTAACTTACATTGGACAGATGACAAACGCTTTGTAAAGTGCAACTAAGAGAAACATTAAAGTGACACATGCCTACTACGCCTTTTTACTAATTTATATTCACCGTTAAAATAGGACAATAAAACGAGTCTAATTTTTTTCCTTGATAACCGTTGAATATTCGAAAAAATGAAAGTTCTAATAGAGCTCTCTCCTTTGCAGGGAGGTATATATGAAAGACTGACTCCTTTTAAAATCATCTGCAGAATACACCCTTTCAATGTTTTAACGTAATTATGGAACACCCTGTATAAATGGTTGATAAAGTATATACATACTAGGGTGATTTTTTTTTCAGCGACCCGTACCAACTCACTAGTACAAGTTACATGTTCGCTGCAATGGGCACTTTTGTAGAGTGTTTTATTCTGACTAAATCGAGATCAAGACCAATGTGATAGGATAAAATGCGACTGAGTTATAGAAATTTGAAAAAAAAAATTCGATTTACGTGTATTTTAAATGGAAAATCTTTTCACGCTTTGGGAAAGTACTTAAAATTAATATTAAGGGCTGTAACTTTCAGGGATTTTTTTTCGACATATTCAACAAAATTTCAAGTGGGAACTGAGAAACAAAAAAATAGTTGAAAAAAAATTACCCTAATACATATGTACATATGTATATTGAGGTTCAAATCAAACTTTAATTTGTGTAATTGTATCATCATCATATGTGTGACCATTTCCTTCAAGTCCAATCGTGTTTTACACAAGTGAAATGATCTGACATGACAGTTCGAGGCGTGTTATTTTTTTGTGCACGAATATTATGGTCTCATCTAATATTTCATTATGTACTTGAAAGTCTAATTTTGTTTTATTACACTTAGAATTATGGCTTTCGTCATAGTAAGTTTTATCTTATAAGTGACCAGGCTTTGTGAATGTATTGTGAGATTTGTGAGCAAATTTGATCAAAAAAACATCCATGGATTCAAAAGGAAAAAAGTCCGACAAAGTTAAATCCATCTAGTGGTATTGAAGATACTGAGAATACTTACCAAATAGCCCACCGATTTTGTTGATTTAAATAAGAACTGTACTCGTTATTATAACACCTAACAAGTCAATAAAAGATATGAAGGTGGAATAGAAACAATAAGCGTCAATTCCTCCATGTAAAGAAGACACAAAGTAGAACAGACTTTCACTTCGCAATTGAAAATCAGATAAATAAAACTATTATTATTGGAGAAGCAAAAAATACAATTTTGACGCCGACTGATGTATGAAACCTTCTTTAGCTGATACTATATTTATTTATTGATGTACGAATATGCCTAGAACATTTTGGCAACGCTGACTTCTGACATTACTAAGATTTTACGTGATCCAAGTGCAAGAAGAAAAATATAAAACAGGTAGAGAAAACAGCAACAATGTATTTAAACAATTTTTAGGATGGAACACCCTGTATATTACGCACATAAATATGTTGAAGAGCTACATCTTTGTCAATAAGAAACTGAATATTACATTCAAGATCCACTTAAAGAGTATAATAATATACAATGTTCACTCAATTTAGATTAGATATATTGCAGAACTTCTTGATTAAAGCAATGATATGATAATAACTTCATTAATGTTATCTATACTATTCTTTAATTAATACAATTTAAATAATGTAAAACGCATTTATATTTTTAATTACCACTCATACAAAGATTGTATTTTTTCTCGATAATAATAAACTGTAAAAATTTGCAGTATCAGTATACATATGTATGTATGTATATAAAAGTGGAACTATTCATTATCCATTTAATGTTTTAATAAGCACCAGTTTGAAAGATTTAAAGTATGGATGTCTGTATTTGAATAAAAGCACCAATATGCTTGTCCAACTATGAAATGATTTTGGTCGCTATTTTCATCGGCGTAGCTAGCCTCAGTTTTCGGGGGGGGGCAGGCCCCAGTACGTTGGAAAAAAAACAATTTTAATAGGCAAGGATTGCACCAGGGCCGTAGCTAGGTCGCTACTGCTGTCAGGGCATGTCTTAAATATTTGGGACCGGGACAAGGGGGCACCCGGAAAAAATAAAGGTGCGCCGCAATAGCGACGGTAGAAAATTTTTCAAAATTTCAAGGTCACGCGTTTTCCTTGGATTTCAGAATTTCAATGAAAAAATCATTTATGCAAAAATATAGACTTTTCCAAGAATAATTTTTGAACTTTGATCCGGCCATAAAAATAATAGAAACCTTGGCCGAGGGCTCACCGAGAAAGTTAATGTGATTGTGTCTATAGAAAATGATCACAGTACATCAGGCGAAAATTTTCTAAATTTTAAAATATGTTTTTTTTATATTTTTCGAAAAATAAATAAATGGAATGGAACAATGGAATGTTTTAAGAATTCTATCTAGTTTAAAAAAAAACAGTAAATATTTATTAGATTTTCGTCTCTATTTTAGAAGTCTTATTTACATCCGCCCCCACCTGGCTACGGCCCTGGATTACACGCTCTTCGACATACTTCTATATATTTTAAAATATAAGTAATTTCAGATACTATGTTTTTTTATACGCAGTTTTTTTATTAGAATGTTTTTATTAGAATCTTAGAATCTTTCAGGGGGACCAGAGGTGCATCAAGAGGGGCCAGGCCCCCCTGCTCCCCCTAGCTACGCCGATGGCTATTTTGTCAGATTATCTCAGTAATACTTACTTAATATTATAGGAGAAAGGAAAAACGTTTTATAATATATCTGGACTACGTGTATTTTATTTTATGACCTTAAATCAACACACCACACTAACTAAATCTAAACTTTAGTAAATTTGTAAACAAATGTACCTCAGTGTACTTGATGATGGCAGAAAAACCTCTTTTAAGTCAGACTTATGGCTCTATTAGTCTTAAATTTAAATAGAGAATTATGAGTTAATAGTTGAATTATTAATCCTATCACTCAAGTGGTTGTCTATTGAACTACATACATACAGTGAGTCACAAAATTATTGGATCCTTTCTCATATTCGTACCCATTGATGGACCAAGTGGTATATTTATTCATTTAACAGTTTTTTTTTTCATTCAATGTGGTTATCAGTTATATCATTAGAATTTTTCACGTTAATTTTAATCTTTGGGAGGGTACGAATAATTTTGTAACTCACTGTATGTACAAATTGAAAGCTATCAAATTTTGCACACAGACAGCAATTTAATGTTAAACAATTTGCATTACGTAAAATATGCTGCTAGTTTCTCCACTTCCGTTCGTAGCCAAGGAAAAATTGCAGACGGTAATTTCTAGTTCTCTATGGCGTACGTGTTAAAAATTCTATAGCGTAATCGACGCGGTACACAAATAAGTTCATTGTTCACGCTTCGGAATTGTTCCGGAATTATGCATTATAAACCGACTTAGTTTCCATATCGCATTTAATGTTGTCCCAGCAATAAAGAAATACAATAATTCCGTTTTAATCGGACATTCTTTCCCAGCTCAGCACGTTTGGCCGAATCGAATGGCGAGGAGCGCAGTTATGAACCAGTGCCGTAGGTAGAGGGGCAACAAATAATTCATAAAAATAAAATGTATATGAAATAATAAAAAACCTCTTGATCTTTGAATATGTGAATCAAATAAATAGCACAGAAACTCAATGAAAGTCTTGTGGTCACCACAGCACAGTTGCCATTTTGAATTTTGAAAATTTGGAGTCAGATTCGCAATTGTAAAGGGTAAAGTTTATGAATAAAGAGACTGATACATATGGAAACCTAAAGTTTATGGATAAAGAGACTGATACATATAAAATATTATTCTTTTGAAACTACTTTTTTTGTGCTTTGGAAATGTGTATGTTTTGTATCAATGTCTTGTTGAGAAGTTCAAATTAAGGGCATATTTTGCGATGTGTACCTACGGGTGTATTAAAGGCACTATGCCGTAATAACACATATGTATGTACAAGGGACAGAACCAAAAGTTAATTTGGGCAACTATGAATTAATTTTAATCTCTATTTTACCAAAAATAAATTGTGAATAACTGAAAATATTAAATATTTTTCTGTTCTGGGAGTTATACGGAGCCGCGGCGATAGCTCAGTGGGTAAAGCGTCAGGTGAGCAGATGGCTATTACACGGAGAGCTATTATCTGCGCGGGTTCGAATCCCGCTTGTGGCAATTGGCACCTGTCACATGTGTCCGACATCTTTTTTCATGTGTATTCTCCCTTTGGCACAATAGCAATGATTCCTAGAGGGAGAATGTTAATTTCTGTGGTGTGTGTGATGATTTTTTTTAATATTAATGGGACATCTTCAGTGTATATATTGGACTAACTGCGCCATTTTGTAAAAAAATTCCTAGACATGAAAAATGTTTTTAAAAATCCTGAGATCAAATAAATTTTTGGAAAAATTTCTCAAGAATAAAACTGTTTTAGAATTCATTGAATAATACTATTAATTTTTTTTTAGGATCTTTAAAGACGATTTTTGATTGTTCCAAAAACCACGAAATCGAAATTTCCAAAAATGTCATTTAAATAATCTTAAACAAATTAAGAGTATTTTTCGATGGATTCTAAGATAATTTTATTTTTAAAACATTTTTACCAGTCTGTTGATTTTGAGAAAAGAATTTATGAAGTTTATACAAAAATATTTTTGTTTCGGCCGCCATTTTGTTTTACCAAACATTTTTAAAAATAAAATATAGCCATTTCTCGAATAGAAACCGGGGAATACCCGGGGATTTCTTTGTTTCATAAAGAAATTCAGGTCTAATTTTTTCTTGTTGTCGAATAAATCGTAATTTTGTCCAATAATGTGTTTTAACTTTTTTTAAAATCAAGTTTTGAATAATGCTAAGGCCATATTCTGAAAAAGCATGAAATTTTACGTCGGAATTGACCAGACTGAAATTTTTTTCAGCACCGATAACTTTGAAACTAAGCTTGCTGAAAACTCAAAAAAATAAGTCATTTGGAACTTAATGGGTTAAAAAGGCAATATAATTCAAATTTTTTTGTTTGTGGGCCCCGGGTTGCCGACCGCTGCTCTAGTACAAACATAATTAAAAATAAAACGTCTTAACTAAATTAACTATTTCAGATAAACAATCTTTAAAACTTTGATTACTACCACCTTTTAACAACATTAGCTATGTAAGTGTATATCACAAACAGTACCTACAAAAATATTATTTACTGCAAACAAATTTATTCCAAAGTTAATTGATTAGGTACTGAATATTTAATGAAGCAAGTGTAACACAAACAAAAATCAATTATTTTCTATTACCCTAAGCTAGTCTGAACAATATTTCACCCATAAAACAATCTTGATTTGTACAAAGCCTTTACCGTTGCCGAAAAAAAAAAACAAATGTGGGTGAAATTTGTATCCAACGCCAGCTGAGGACTCGACGAATTAGCATAATAATTACAAATCCACATCTAGCAGGCAGGTGTAAGATACGACCTGCCCCTCCACAAAAACGCGCGGTTGCGCCACTGTCGCCTACAGCGGCGTTTATGTAACGGAAAACGCGGCACACCGGAGTAGACGATCCGCCGACTGCAAAAAATTCACTTTTTGCAAACGGGCTCAAATGTCGGTGTGCCTACGTGACCGACGGCATGTTCAAATTCTGGTGCCACGTGGTATCGATTGGAAAAGCTCCGCGGCGCATGCGCGTCGGCGTCGCACTTCCTCGTACCTACCAATGGGCTCGCCTCTCCGGCGGTCAATTAAAAAGACATTGGCCGGTGATGACGCGTAACCAGCCGTCTTGACCGCGGCGGTCTATTATTACGCTGCTGTCAACTAATTGCAATTAGAGTTATCCTCTGCGAGTATCCATTTCGACTGAGTCACTTTCTCGAAGATAATAATAATAAATGAAAATTAATATTTATTTTATTTGACGAATTTTATTTGTAGCAGGCGATGATGCGCTAAATTGTTTTATTATGTTTGCATAGGAGGATTTCGGCGTGATTCACGGCGTTTTGTGGGAATACTTTCGGCGACGGTTCGCGTGTAGGGGAGAGCCGGGCAAGATTAAGCCATGAAACAATCAAATAGAAAACACACGCTATTCACAGAAGCTATTCAATAACATTACCGCTATTCTTCCTACTTATCTACTTGTTATGCCTCCTCTACACGTCGACAGACGCGTCCGCAGACGTCGACCGAAGCATCAGCAGATGTATCACCACGAGCCGACCACACGTCTGTAGGTCGTTCAGTCTGTGTTAATTCTCGAAAGACGCAATTTGCACGCACGCAACATTTAAAAAAATGGATGTTGAGACCGTAGCTGCCGCAGCAATTTATTTATTTATTACTTTGAACTACTACTTGAGTGTGCATCGTAGTAGAGTTATTAAAAAGAAATGGAAAAGAACAAGGTGGTGGATGCTGGGCTATACATAGAAACAGAACAAACTGCTTGATACAACTCAAGGAATTTAAATGTTTCGTCAGTGTTCATACTAGCCATTTCAGCGAACAAGATTATTATTTAACAAATTTATTATTATACAATTTACTATTTGTACAAATATTATTATATTAACAATCGAGAAAAAAACCTGCAAGAAGCACGCGTATACTCTCATTCGTGACTCCGATATAAATGATGCGTCGTCAGACGTGTGGACAGGTGCTGGGCGCTCGCGCTGAAACCCTTTGATCCGTACTACAAAAACCTACATCAAACGGATTGGTACCAGACGTATCTGCCGACGTTATATACCTGCCACAGACGAGCAAATTCCCCCGTCTACACGTCGGCGGAGGCATCCGCAGATGACATCTGCTGATGGATCTGTCGACATGTAGAGTAGGCTTTATTTGCTAAGATCATGTAAGAAATCATGTTGGGTCACCTCCACCCAAGATTGCTCAGAGGATTCTGAGGAGCTCCTCTATATTTGAAGATTCGGCAATGGACGAACATGTTTATGTAAACATTTGACACATAAATATGATGTAGTTTAAGCTAAAGAGACGGAGTATTATTAATATTGAGATATTCGCATTCTAACCGTTGTACCGAAAGCCGTATACACCTGGGGTTCCTGATTTTTATAAATATTAATACTTTGGACTTTTTATTTTACGTTTCACCTTACAATCAAGTCATTCATATGGTATGTATAGCAGTTGGCAAGGTCAGATCTTTGGTCGGGTAGATGATGAAAGTAATTTATTGGTTAGGGGGCAGGGCTACAGACCAATAACGTCACATCCTTCATGATGGCTCCACCCATCACCATGATGGTGTGATGTTATTGGTTATTTAGCCAGATAAACAAGTCTTAAGCGACGAAAAATACAAGTCTGGATGTCACTGAACAAATATTGGAAAAATAAAAATTATTCTACTGAAAAAAGCAAAAACCTTAATTATAATCTCGGACGACCAAAAAAAATTAAAAACTTAAAACCAACTGTCGTTACGACTTGGGCTTCTGTCTAAATTTTCAGAGCAATAAAAACTTAAAGATTTTTTCAGAACTTTTTTTATATATAAAAACTGAGAAAGAAACCTCGAAATGTTTAAAAAATGGTTTGATTTAAAATTGTTCAGAAAGTTTTATGGTTTAACTTTTAACAATTGTTATTTATTGTTATTTGCGATTTTATACTGTATTTTCTTCTTAGTATCACATTCAGTTTGTTTTTATGCTATTTTATATTGTATTTCCTTCCTAGCATTTTATCCAGTATCCGACAACAGCGATAACAAAAATATATTTAAGTGCACTTGCCCCGCTCCCCCCTATATCAGAATCAATAAAAACAAACGAGCATACCTACGAAAGTGTATGTGGCAGATTCATCAGTTTCTAGTTCAACGAACTTTTAATAATGTAATATTCGATATTATATCGAAAAGTCACGTTGCAATTGACAAGAGAGCTCGATATCGACAGTCTGTTCGCTACATTCACTAATTTCTACTTCTATTGTTACATACGCAATGTCAAGTTCAAGAGGTGATATGACAAGAGTTAAGCGTTTGATGTGGCACATAGTAAATGTTATGACACGGTTTAATTTTATACTTGTAGGCAGGTAAATGTGTCAGTAGTAATAACAAATATGTAAGGAAAAGTGATTCTAAGCGTAAGAAGAGTTCTAGAGGAGTTAATAAAGCTGTTTTTGTCTACATAATATTGTTATGTATCGAGTTCCGAAAGTGTGCTGTAACGCAGGCCCGGAATCGTAACCCGTCATGTTATTGACAGAAGACGACATATGATTTAGAAACACCGACTGTCCTCTAGTGATGGGAATCGAAAGCAAAAATATCGATACTCGGTATTGCAAGTATTTTGAATTTTTCGATACCCGGGTATCGATACATCTATCAAAATTAATCGATATATTGGTAATCAAATGAATACTTTTCCAAAATTTGAACATTTAGAATAATTCAATGTGAATATAAAGTAAAAAAAATTATTTGTGAGCAGGAAAATAATCCAAAGTTTAAGGAACGATTTATTTTTATTTTTTTATTATTTATTAAAAAGGATAAAAGAATTGCTCGGGAATAAACATTCTGAAATAAATTAAAACTTCAAATTTCTCTCAACATCAAGCGAGATCAACAAAAATAAAAATACCCATTTCTTTGGTTTTGATCAATAACATAAATTTAAAAAAAAACATTTCGATTAATCGTACGCATAAAAAAAGAGAAAAGTAGAAAACACTATAGAAAGAATGGTAAACTGACTCTCGAAAAAGATTGTCTTCATTAAATTTTTACTGTTTTAATGGTAAAAATTGAATGAAAATCCCTCCATCGACATACTATTACTATTTATTAATGCTTACATATCTTTTTTCCGTGGATCACAAATAGTGTCCCTAATAATAAGCGTTTTCTCATTTTGCTAAAAATGGAACAATTTTTTTTTATAAACAAAACTTTTTCTAACAGTTTTTCAAAAACTAACACATATAAAGTTATAATAACAGTTTTTTTGCAAATGTATTTCACTAATTTTGAGTGAAAATTCCAAATTTCTTCAGATTGTTGCTAAAAAAATTTTACCATTAGCAGAAAAGTGTACAGATAGTTAGGTTAAGAGATGGCCTGTGCTGTATACTACACAGACTCTTGCCAACATTAAAGCAAAGACAGAGTTAGGTTAGGTT